TATATATATTATTTTCTTATATATATACTAATATATATAAGCAAATAGAGAAGCAAACAAAGAGAAGGAATAAACAGATTAATTATTATTTATTTATTAATATTTATATTTATGTATATTTATGTATATTTATGTATATTTATTTATATTTATTTATTTATATATATTAATTTCTCCTTAATTCCTTTCCTCCTTTTATTTTTTTTTCTCCTTTTTTCCCTTTCTTCTTCTCCTTCCTCCTCCTTTCCTCCCGTTATACCCCTCAATTAATAAATATAATTAAACAAATAATTAATTAATTAATTAATTAATTAATTAATTAATTAAATTAATTAATTAATTAATTAAGGAGAAGAAGAAAATTACTTTGTTATAATAAGAGTTGTTTCCTTAACATCCTCTATATCCTTACATATATAAAAAGCATCCTTATTAATACATAATATAATTAATTAATATAATTAATTAATTAATTAATTAATATAATTAATTAATTAATTAATATAAATAAATAAATAAATAAATAAATAAATAAATAATTAAGAAGAAGAAAGATCCTTCGCTATCTGTAATGCGTTTTCTTTAACACTAATATCCAATAAGAGAAGAAAAAGATAAATAAATAAATAAATAAATAAATAAATAAAAATAAATAAACAAGAATAAATAGTTAATTAATATATAAAATTAAATAGGAGAAGAAGAGGAAGAAGAAGAAGAGGAAAGATCTTTCGCCATCTTTATAGTTTTTTCCTTAACTTCCTCTAGATATAGTAAATAGATTGAGGTAAGAAGATAAAGAAGGTAAAATAAATATAAATAAAGAGTAATAAATATAAGAATAATATATTAGATTAAATAGGAGAAGAAGAGGAAGAAGAAGAAGAAGAAAGATCTTTAGCCATCTATATACTGCTATTTCCAGTATAAATAGCAAGTAGACTAGAGTAAGAAATAAGAAGAAAAGGAGGTAAAATAAATATAAATAAAGAGTAATAAATATATGAATAATATATTAGATTAAATAGGAGAAGAAGAGGAAGAAGAAGAAGAAGAAAGATCTTTAGCCATCTTTATAGCTTTTTCCTTAACTTCGTCAATATCTCCACACATATAGAAAGCAGCCTCAGGTAAATCATCTAAATAACCATTAATAATAAGAGAAGAAGAAGAAATAGTTTTATCTAGATCTACAAATTTACCTTTTATTCCTGTAAATACCTCAGCAACAGAAAAAGGTTGAGAAAAAAATTTTTGTATTTTTCTTGCTCTTTTTATTATTTGTTTATCTTGCTCATTTAATTCATCTATACCTAATATAGATATTATATCTTGTAGGGATTTATAATCTTGTAATAATTTCTGTATATATCTGCATATATTATAATGATTATCTATAATATTATTATTATTATTATTTATATTATTTATATTATTATTATTTATATTATTTATATTATTTATATTATTATTATTATTTATACTAGAAGAAAGAAGACGAG